TGCCTTTCGGAATCCTATCATGAAACCGGGTGTCTTAAATATGTATGGTCTTTTGTGAAGATTTCTGTGTCTATTTTTTCAACGTCATTCTAGTATTAGTCGCTCTGTATATATAACAAGTCAGGGGTGTGCTATAGATTTACCTCTACGTGGTGCACCTTGGGCAACGTATACTCATACAGCCAAAAGGTCTTTTAATCGGCAGTTAACTTTTGACTTCAATTTACCATGACCCCACTGTATGTCATATTCGACTACTATCACAGTACTCACCTCACCTTTTTTCTACCTTTGTGTCTGTCTGTCTCTTTTACGTCCGTGAATCATTATTCTGCCCTGCTTCTCGACATTTTGTCACTTTGATGTTCCTCCTCCTCTCTATGAAGCCCGAGGTCAGCTAAATGGCTAATGATAAGTATCAAAACGCCTGCCATTTGAAATGAATGAATGAATATAACAAGTCCTTTTTGATCTCCTGGAACTTGGAAGAGTGACTTCAACTTTGTTAAGGAATTTACGATGGTCAATTATTTTCAGCATTTGAAAGAAAAAGTTGAAATTCTACTGAAATTCTATTTTTTTCCTAATTAGTGCACTATCAATTTTCGAAAAAGAGTTTCTTCAGCGAATCAAGAAGGTGGACCCATGGAACAAAGCGTTCTGGAAATGGTGGCTCATTTTTCTTTCTTGGTGTCTGCTCTAAAATGGAATAAGAAAAAAGGTAATTTTGTAGAAATGCTGCATAGGCTAAATTATTTCATGTTTTATAATTTATTTATTTAAAAGAAGCATAAAGACATATGGGTACTGCTGAATTTTCGAGCTTCGAATCGTTAAAAGCTATCGTGAATCATTTGGAATAATAATTCTCAATTATTATCTAATTGTGATTTTGTTGCGGAAATCAGCATAAACGCAAACGCCTTTTGAAATAATGCATTTACGCGCATTTTCGACTACAACCACGAGCAGGATTAATCTTTTGAAGCCAACTTTACTTTATTCAACATGAAATATCCACTTGAGAGTCTTTTGTCTTGTGATTAGTTGTATGATTTATAGTTTCGACAAGATTTTAGATATTTATTCAAATATTTACTGGAATTTTGATTATGGTAACAGGAATAATGAACTGGAATTCATTTAATTGCTTGTAGGATGCTATGCAACACATGTGTTTTGCCAGGAAAATAACTAAAACATAACGTATTTGCATGACTGCAACACCTTTGAAAAATCAGAGACATTTTTAATCAATGAACATCCACTCACTGCCCACTTGTCTCGAATTGTAATCCGTTAGTATCTTAGACTTAATTGGCCACCTTCAAACTTAGTCGCTTATCTATCAAAACTATTCTGAACAGGTAAAATGTTTCGCTTTACCTGATTTGCCTAATTTTGCTCTTACCCTGGCATTTAGAATGAATATTCACGTCTGGTTGCATAATAATCTTTACACTCAACTTAGTAGGAATCTAAGTTAACAATACAGAGCGCTTATCGTGTGATGGAATTATTATTCTCGACCATGTAATTTCTTCAGGGTGCTCGCAGCCAAAACGTACTCCTTCCTTTTTCATTTATTTGTTTTGTTTGGCCATGTGACTCATTTGCACATAATAGTTTTCGATAAATCAGGGAACCCAATGGCTTTTCAAAATCATTTCAATATCGTTGATATCGCATTACACGTCACATGTAAAATTAGCACTATCTAGAACCAGGTTCAATCAAAGAGCAGATATGAAAAGGATTTTCACTTAGGTTGTCAGATGAGATTAGGCTACATCGAATTTAAGAAACAATTTTGAGCGATATTTTATTGTTTATATGTGCTTTTGTTTTACATGTATTCTGTAGTGAACTGCGGCTATGTCAAATAATAATCCTGTTTATCTCTAAGTCGACTGTTATTTGCTGAAAAATTTACTATCTCAGCATATATTCTTAATTGGGGCCGGTTTTACGCAGACTAGAACAGCATTCCAATCGACCAAAACATGCTCGGTGCTGTGCACTGGATTTCGCCTCCTAGATAGTATTCAATTGGGGAAAATAGACTAGCTAATATCTGTACGACGGAAAATAGAAAATAGATTGTGAGTTGTAGTATTTTTAGTCCAAGTTTTTTTGCGTTTACTGACGAACAAAAGGAGGTAGAAAAGAGCTCATGATGTCCACTTACGTACTCAGATGAACTACGAGAAAAGTCTGTTGAACATTTCTGAATTCTCCAATGTCGGCATGACAAGTGAGTAGACGGAGATGGCTTCTCCAATCCAGTGGAATGACCGTACTCACTGACACATTGTAGTCACCTTTAATATAGAATTGGCCAAGATTCATTAATTATGAGAGTTTTAATAAAGCATGCTAACAATTAGTTCTTTATGAAAATTTTACTTTAGGTGTTCATTTTATTTCTTTTAATACGGTGGTGGTATGAAAGTATCGTGTCAAAATAAATAACAAGTTTAGAAATAGTACGAATCTATCCATATGTGATAAAGCTTTATTGCAATTTTTTCAAAAATTTAAGAAATAAAGGTATTAATGTAAACTGTGCAGGCCTGACCCAGAATATCTGCCACATGGGTCACCCACTAATATACTTATGAGTTTGTAGCGGATTGCTACGCTAGTAAAGCCTGACTGACTCAGAAATCTCAATGGGAGATTCTCCTACATCTAGCTAGACTCCCAGAACCAGCTAAGCTATAGTCCAGCTATAAAGGAAATAGACGTGTAGCACGGAGAATTCTCCAACATCTAGCTAGACTCCCAGAACAAGCTAAGCTATAGTCCAGCTATAAGGGAAACTGACGTGTAGCACGAAATGCGTTTATTCGGTACGTATATTGCATATAAAGGAAACAGATGTTTAGCACGGAGCACGTTTATTCTACAGAGGATACAGACGTGTAGCACGGAACATTTATTCAGTAGCGGAAAACAGACGTGTAGCAAGGAATACGTTTATTCGATACGGGAAAACAGACGTGTAGCACGGAGCACGCTTATTCAGTACGGATTCAGACGTGTAGCACGGAGCACGTTTTTTCAGTACGGGTATAGACGTGTAGCACGGAGCACGTTAACGTATATTGCGGATCAAGTGTACACGCAGGGAGCTACTCACCGGTATTGCGGATAAAGTGCACACGTAGGGGGCCTAATCGTGATCAGGATGGCTGATTAGGTTAAACAGAGATTGATGATTGGTCACTGTTTGTACGGTCGCCAAACACAGAGTTGTACGGCCGCACCTCCCAATCCTGGCGAGCAGACATGCAGGCATACGATGACGCACAACGCGATAACTTGTCTCACAAGTTCCTCAGAAAGTTGTTTCGGGGAAATTATTTTACTCACTGGGATGAAATGTTGATTTGTACAGTAATTGTAAGATATAAATTAGAAGACATTATTCAGGCTGAAGGACAGCTGGAATTTAAAATTTGACTTTATAAGTTCAATTTATGTCATGAACTCGGACTATGACCAACATGTCGGGGAAGTGGAGGGGGGAGGCGGTCTGAAGATCTCAGACCATTCTATTTTCAGTATTCTGAGCAAAAGAAGCTTCCGAGGTTTGGAGATTTCTTCATCCTCTAAGTCCATAGGTTTTTATTGCTTTAAGTTAAGGTTTGTAATTAGTGTCGAACAGACAACCTCTATTCAGCTAAGGATTTTAAATAATGACTTGATATCCGTGACATATGATGTAGCGTTCCAACACAGCAGATTATTAATGAAATATAAATATCTTTATTTTTATAACGTGAGGATATTTTTAATGTTTTGTAATTATTATCCTTCGTTAATTAAAAAAAGTGGGTGAATTTCGCAATAGATGAAGCCGTAATGTCATTTATAATGTGAAGGTGAGTTTAGGTGTGAAGTAATTCATAATTCAAAAAAATATATTCAATCGCAGTTTTTTAAACTGTTTAACTTTTATTTCCCATTAAACAAATCGATTTAAATAATACCGATGTTCTTTTTAAATTGTCCAGGTCTTAGCCAGTGAAATCTTGATATGATTTCTAATGACTTGCATTCAAATGATTGGATAGCGATTATTCTTACTAGCATTGTATCGATTTATTCCAATATGAATCCTACGGCATCATGTTTGAAATGAAATGATTTTTAAATATACAAAAGTCTAAGGCATGCTCATTTATTCAACCCCAAAGTGGTACTTTTCAATTTACCAGCTCCTCATCGAGCACAATCATTGCACATAATCATAGTACTTCCAAATTCTCTTCAGTACAGTATGGCGGTGATATGAAGGATGAATCATGTCACTAATATTAATATGTAATTGATTTTAGAATTAATTTTAAGATTAAACTGGAAGATTTAGGGCTTTCTCATATTTTTAAAGATTTTCATGACTTGAAACAATTCTTCCATCCCCCATCTACATTCATACTTCCCTTTTAAAGTCCTCGTACGCTTCAAGTTGGTATTAATAGGTTAACAAAAAGATCTCTCCTTTTCCATTAACAATTGAACTTCTAGTTAATTTTTAAACTATGAGTTCGGTGTTATACTATGTAAATCAATAAAATTTGTATAACTTAACAAAACTCAGGAAAACAAATAAGATCGACTGTATTGACGGTTGCATTTTTAAAAACAATGAATTTATTTTTATTTCCTTGTCTCCCTCTAACTTCCATAAGTATAAAAAATTTACTTATTTAAATAATCTTCACAAACTATTCTTCAGAATGTTCGCATATTTTTAAGAAAGTTGTGAGAACCACAAGTGTATTGTTTCTTCTAACATGAATTCCTTCCGCCTTTTTAGAAATTTAAGCAGGAACAAAGGTCTACATCAAGAAGAGAATAGGCTGAAAATGTGAGCAAAAGGAAGTTCTTTTTGGAAAACACACATTTACATACGAAATGTTTCCATCGCGTCAGTTTCTGTTATTTAATTTAGCAGATATTGAATTATTCACACCTATTCATTGATTTTATCACCTCCATCTCGTTCACTTCCAAATTTGATGAGTCAGAGTTAATAAATAACAATAACCCCCCCCCCTCCCATTTTATAGCCTTCGACGCTGAGACTGCAATATCCAACCCGCAGAAGCTTATCCAAGATATAAAATTTGTCTCAAATCGTTTGCGGGATAAAACTTGATGCGGATCGATAACAGCAAAAAAAATTAATATTAAATTTTTGGGAGGTAAGGTGATTTTTGAGTGAAGGTTAGCTTGCTTTGACTCGATTCAAGATATGTAATATACACTTACAGGGCATTCATTGTAGAAAGTATGTATCAACGACCTGAATACGAAGCATCGCATGTAGTATAACTTGAATGTCTCGTGTTTTTCCCCTCCAAAGAGGTCGATACGTCAGGACGCCATGCTAGCAACCTAATTAAAGTAATAGAATACCGACTTGCAACCCCCCCCCCTCGAAAATCTTAGAATCTGATCATTTTGAACTTTTATTGTGTTCACGTTAGACCATGCGGTTGTAAACCATAGATTAGTTCGCCAATAGTAATCTCATTAATCATCATGTGCCATTTCTCTCACCTTTGGAAATAATGATACCACCGGCGATAAAATCGCATATATTTTCGAAATTTAATATATGGAAGATTTTTCAGCGATTGATTGCTTGTTGAATAAAGGGAACATTTTCATCCAAGTTATATTTTATGGGCATTTTGGTGTTATATTTTACTTAAATTTTGTTTTTTTTGATATAAAGAAGTACATGTGTGGGTTGTTGTCACGTTTTCTTTTAAGTAAAGCCTTCTTGGTGACGTCTTCGAGTTATGAGGTATATTTGGAGGGGCAAGAAGTTACGATAATGCCGTAAATTCAAGCGCTTTACTTCACCAGCTCCATTCTCAAATATATTCTTCAAACCAACCTCTCGATTACCTGCGTACACGCGAACGCTGAAGTTTGCGGGAAAGTAGACATCAGAAACCCACTACAAATTTTGCAACGAATACGTTGCTCTAACCCCTCATGCAGTAAGGTTATTCATGAGGTATGTTAAAGTTAAACTGCCATGTTTATTTGTTTCTTATATTGTTTTCTTTTAAATAATGAGTCGGCGTGACTCACCATTTGGTTCCAATACTTTCGTGGGGAGAGAAGCCTTGACAGGTTCACCGCCAAACATAAAGCGCAGAGTTGGCGGTCGTTTTGTGCCTCTGGCTGAACAGACTGCCATTACGCTATCATTTTCCTGCAAATTTGTCCCATTCTGCAAGAAGACTTTCAGGCGCATCGTCTTATCTGAGGCATATAAAAGCATAGGAGTTAAATCTCGGCTTCTGGATCAATTTCCTATCAAGGCAGCCATTAAAGGGTTTATGGGAGTCTACCCTATGGGAAGAGGTGGCGTAATAAATCGCCTTAATTAATCAAAACTAATGAATACTGCTTGAGTGTTGAGATCTAACGCGATTCCCTGTGAGCTTTTAGGTAAATTGGTCTATCGAGAGCATGAAAGTGACCATTCTCAACTTCATTAAAACTTAATGCTTATTATTACCGACCAAATAAATGAAGCTTTTACTGTAATTGTTATACTTTCTAGATATGAGTGTGTAAATTTTTTTCTCAAAATGTTTTCCAAAGTATACCTTAAGCTGGCAGATCTTTTTCCCAAAACTTTATGTATAATGCTTTTGCCCCTAGCAGATGTCAATCTTGGATAATTTATTCGCATTTTTAATCGAAAAGGCATTAAATAGTGTATATCGATTAAGTAATGAGAGGGAAAAGCGTGCTGCATTATTCTCAATTAACATATTAAAACTTTTTCAATTATTCAATATTTTCTTGTCTTTAATCGAAATCTCATTTGCTTCCTAAATGCATAAGTTCCTGTGGAAAATTTAAATGTAATAAGGTAAAGTCATACTTACAATAGTTAACATTCGATTATTTTTACTACTCCTGTTAATATCACAACGATATATGCAATTAATTTGATCTATGAAAATGCTGCTGTAAGGTTTTCGAAGTTGAGGATTCGAGTATCAGTATTGCAACATTAAACTAAGGAATCAGCACTATTTAGGCTCAAATCACTTTTCCTATCTCACAGACACTATAAAATCAACAAAATATTCTACAACAAAGTCAAATGGTGATGAGCACGGTTCAGGTAAGGTACCTCTTTCATGAACGAGTGCTTAGCTCAATCGATCATTCTCTCCCCCCCCCCCCCCCCCCGATACATGCGACGCTGATGGTCCAGACTCTCTGTCAGAATTTAACCACGGATATGAATAAGGAAAAGGGGCTCTATTGCAACAATTAATTGAAAACATTATAAGCAAAACAAACGAGCTGTATTTTCCCTTTATTTATGAACGAAGGAAGGGGTGTGTGATAGACTTACCTCCACGTGGTGCACCCTGGGCAACGTATACTCATACGGCAAAAAAGTCTTTTAACTGGCAGTTGACTTCAAACTACCATGACCCCACTGTATGTCATATTCGACTACTTTCATAGTACTCATCCCACCTTTTTCCACCTTATCTACCTTCGTCTTCGATACACTCTTCTGTTACCCCCCCCCCTCTTTAATTTTTTTACACTTTGATGTTCCTTCCCCTCTGTGAAGATTGAGGTCAACTAAAGGGCTAATGATAACAGTCAAAACGCCTGCCATTTGATATAATAATAATAATAATGAACGAAGGAAAGCTAGAATAGCTTGCGTTTAAAATAAAATATAATCAAAGAAAGATATAACATCAAAATAAATCAGGTATTATAGCAGTAATTTACCATGTACAAGAACCCTTGACGAAACTTCATGAATGTTGGAGTCGGGATGACTGGATTTGCAAGTGAAGACGCCGGAATCGCTTTCCATAGCTCGATGAACAACCAAGTAGCAGACTGATATTCCACCCTTCTCGTCCTGTTGACTCATGTAGATCTTATAGCGGGGATCGGGGGATTTGCTGGTGATGCTCATTGACTGCAAGAGACATCCTCCTACTAATACCTGAAAAGCGTTTTTCAACCAACTAACTTTCACGTTCAAACAAACTGGTTTCTCAAAATAATAATTACTTTTCACTTACTCCATTGGCGTACCAATTGATGAAATCTGGTTTTAGAGTTGGCTGACATGCTTGGTAAATAGTAGATCCAAAATCAAGAGTTAAATTTTGTGGGACAATGCGAAAGGGTGCTTAAAACAGGAAGACGCAAATCTCATTTATTTGAATCAGACTTAATATGAAAACGAAATTAATCAAGTGGTCCCTATTTCATTTATACGGGTTGTACCTTCACGTTTCTAATGCTTCAATTCCATTTGCCAAATTGATACTTTATAGTTATTCGACAAACCGTGCTTCGAAATATTGAATTTGAAAATGGTTGAAAAAGCTATTTACAAAAATCTTTAAAACATGCGAAATTTACAGAAATAAGTTTAGTTAATCTACTATTTGCATAAAATTGTGCTCTTGCTAAGTAAGAAATATGTTGTATCTGCTTTGACGATGACACTTAGAAAGTTTCAATTTTAAGAATATTTTTGCAAAGTATACTCCTTGCACATCTTGGTTTCTATTTTAAATTACAAAGTAGGTTCGATTTCATTGAATTGAGTGTTATTTAATAAGGTTAGAGAAAGTGGAAATTGTTGGCTCGCATTAAACTAAGCTATTTACGTAAACCTGCGCGAATGGGAATGAAGAGGCAGAGGAGGGAGAGAGCGGTCCACGCAACAGTCATCGAGAGAACTATAAAATGATTTTGAACCGGGTCCGAGGGAATCCCATTTGTGTCACCTTGGCAACGCGTCCAAGCTGATACACCAGAAATGCTAATGTTAAGACATCTCCATAGGCGCACACATAGAATGTGCTTCGGCGTGTGCTTCAGTAATTTGGAAATATTTTGCCATTTGTCAAATGATTGTATAAATCATTCCCATATCCATTTATTCCGTAAAAAATCCACTGTAAAATTAGTTCTGGAGAGAAGGTGGAGAAGAGCAATTAAAATAGTGCAACACGCCGTGCGGGAGTTAGATAAACTTGAAATCTACAAACGTCTTAATGACAACGGTAAAAATAGATCGTTCAAAAATGTGGAGAAATCAAAATGATGAATAACTGTGATAAAAGAGTGAGAGAGCAGTTTACGAATAACAATGGAAGTAATTTTGTAGTAAGGAAGACCGTTAAGTACTTTGTTGCGGACAAATAAAATGGGTTTCAAAGTAAAAAAATGAGTTGACAATCGGGCTAAAGGGGTAAAAGAAAAGGAGGACAAAATCAGAGCAACACAATCGTCATACTTTTGTGAATATTTGTGAATACGCATTGTGCCCTTATATTATTCCATGTTTTAAGCTTTCAGAGATTCTCATGATTTCGTAATGATTTCCTGTTGATAAATAAAGGGATATTGATCACGTGGTTATGTTTTTTTCTAACGGTTGAGTTGATTTCATGAGGAATTTTTTTAACATAAAATACACATGGGTGACCTAAATTGGCTGAAAAACATTGCGCTTAGAACGCAATACAAGTCAGATTTCAAGTGCCTATCATTGTTGGGAAGATTTTCAAGAAGGCTAATTGTTGAATTAGGATGGTGCCCCACAACATATAGCTAAGATGAAAAATTGGGGGAGGGGGTGTTTTGGTTGCCAAATAAGTACGACGAACTTGATTGCAAGAATCGGAGGGATGAAACCAGTTGGACAAGAAGAAAAAAATCGGTGATTGTAGAGTTGTAGCTAAAGTCTGAGTAAACAGGGTTTTAAATTTGAAGAATAACGTGAAAATAAGCCCAAACAAATTTAGAGTTATGGCGTTGTGAATAAAGAGTTTAAAGGGAGAACTGCGGAATTCTTTGTTAGAGTTTGATAAACACATACGGAGATCTAAGATCCCACCAATTAGTGCTAACATCGGTAATTTCTAGACTGTTTTAAATAACACCTAAATTCGGATACATAAGTATAAAAAGCATAATTCTTTGAGAATATTTCATTATTTAACTTTTCCAAGTGAAGAGGTTTTAACTCATTCTTATCATTTTGAAAAATTACTTCATCATTTATTTTTAAAAAAGTAGTATTCAAGTTTACTAAAACTTAGTTTATTACAGAAACTGAAACTTTTTCAGTAAATTAAAATTATATTTTCGAAAAACATAAATATTTGCAGATATTATGTCTAAAATGGTATTTATCCAAAATTTCATTGTCTCGTCAAACGATTGGTACTACAACAAGACCAAAAGAACTTTTCCAAAAGTTCAATTTCGTACGTTCTCAAATTACAATTGAATAAGTTGCATGTTTCATTGAAAATGCGTGTGAAACTTATTTAAGCACATTTTAATTCAATTTCAAGTATATTATTTTTGTTTGTTTACGAAAAATATGTTATATCTTAGTTATTCGTTACTAGGCGTTTAAATGCTCTTTTTATTTAAAAAAAATAAGTTTCGTTTGTTTTTGTCCTTTTGATTTTTTTGAACTCAAAAATAATCTTAAACGCGCAAATTTTTATCTCATGGTATTTCGTTTTCCTCACTGGTGTTTAAAAAAGAAACAGATTTTGATATTTAGCACTCTCTTAAAATTTACTGGGTGGTTCGCATCCGTCAAATAGGATAAAATAAGTTTTATAATTTTAATATGGTTTTCCATTAAAAAGAGGGGATAATAGTTTTTAAAATGGTACTAGGTTTAAATTTACTTATCGCTTTCATATGCAAATGATTCTAAATAAAATACTCTGAATCTAGGTGATAAAATAGATTTATTTAATGTCGCATTAGTAATATTGATTTTGAGTTCTGATGGCTTTCATGAAAATTGTGATATAAACTTTGCTTGTGTTGAAAAGATTTTCAAAATTCACTAGAACAAATAGTTAATTAGCACTTAGACAAAATCCTTGATACTGATTTTTATTTATGGTTTGGTAAAAGGAGACGGTTAGTTATGAGGAGATGAGGGGTTCGTGTTTATATTTAAAAATTTACCTCCTCCCTATCACTATTAGGCCATATATAAACATTTCAAGAATCTATTAAAGCGTTAGCAGTCATTGTATGTACAACTAAAGACCTTTTTGAAATAGTTGGCTAAATCCAATTGTTCCACATTTGTAACCTTGTTTTTTCAAAGTAAGTAGAAACTATTTATATGTTAATCGTTTTATAAACGGTATTGGGGGGGGGATATGGTTGATACATTAAGTTTTTCGACAGTAAATCGATACCAACACTGGTATTTATTGATAACGCATTAAGATATGACAATGAAAACAATAAATCCTTGCAAGTATTATAAATGTGCTAAAGCACAAAGAAATGATCATACCACTGCATGGCTGTAATCTTCTACTTCAATTGCAATGCCATTTATCTTACAGGCTCGTCGATGTCACGCCGAGATTTCAAAAATTACTGCAGACACTCGATTTTTAATTCTCCTTGATAACTGCGATTTTTGCACTTCTCAATATGAAACTATAAGTTCCAACAAATAATTACAAAATAAAAATAAAAAAGCGAGAAAAGATTTTAAAAAAATATTTATTCAATAGTTATAGAGATAATGCACTTAATAGCAATAACAATAGTAACACTAGGGTTCTGTTCCAAGGTGAATTTTAAGTCCGCGTTTAATAGGACTGCGAGATAAAACAGATTTACGTTGTTAGATACGACAGATAACTTACGAGTCATTTAGAAAACCTGCCTTCACCACTTATGTAATTCTAATGCAACATTCAAGTGTCAAGCTCGAAACCTATCATCCTCATCTTTAGCAGATTGGGTCGAGGTTCCATTTACTTGTGAGTACTGAAGGTCATCGACTACATGGTCTCGGATTTCGCGTCGTCTATTTTTGTCCGTTGATGACCTAACTTTATACTCACCTCTCATTAAGCTTATGATAAGAAATATTAATTCTCAGAAAAAAATTTAAGAAATTATCTTCTACTTGCGAAGGAAAACAATAATTTGCTTATATTTTAAAGGGTATGTGTTCATAATCCTTTTATCAACATGGTTGCCACGATTCGACTTTCATTTTGCAGCTTAAACATTAACTTCTTCCCGTTCAGTGGTGCATTAATAACTAAGTCTGTTAGTTTAAAGCTACTTTTACTTCGCTTTTGCTTGCAAAGAAAAGAACGAATACTTTACAGGGAACTTCTTCATCTCCATCAATTTGTGTTGTTTTGAAAATACGATTTGGTGACAAGATATTAGAAAGTGCTAATATGCAAACAAAGCGGTTGACAAGAAGATTTCGAGAATAAAAATAGTTGTCCACTTTCCATTTTGCTTACGGAAAACAGCATTTGAGAATAATATCATTTTATAAATGCACCAATTGCCTGTTTAGTCATACTGAAAATAATCAATAAATAAATTCTGAAATTTATCATTTATTGCGTTGTGTGTAGAGTGGAGAAGCAAGATTTTGAAAAATGAGTTCTTTCATTTAATTAAAAATCATATTTTACATTTTTACTTTAAGTGTATTAAAAATATTTTATCCTAAATCTAACGACTGTGATGCCTGATGTCTCTTACTTTTCCCAATATGGAAAGTGCTATATAACATTATGTCTCTTTAAAATCACGATTCGTTGTTATATTACATTTTCTGCGCATATTTTAAATAAATAATCTAATTCTCTCTCTACTGTTATTAATTTATTTCAAGATTAGAAAGCACTCAAAGAATTTGTGGCATCTGAAACGTGAACACAGCGCTGTAGGATAAGCGAATCTCTTATTTAATATGATATAAAAACCTTGCTGTTGTCAATGAAAGCCAAGCAATAGATTTGCCCGACCAACTCATTTCAATTTTCAAAATAGATCCATCTAATTTCTATTGCTTGCCAGCCATCTTGTGCTTTCGGTCCCAGCCACGATTTAAAAAACGAATGATCCACCCAAAAGTACAAATTAAGGGAGGCAATATTGAAATAGCTAAAATGTAATACTAGAGTCTGTTTCGCTTCATATTTGTACGAATTTGATTAAATTAATTCACCATGATTTTCAATTTACTTGTCCACAAAATTAAGCATAAATAAAAGATTTTGGTGGTATTGCTAAAACCCTTTAATACAGTTTTCTAGACGTGTGACTGTTAATGTGAATTCATATTTTCAAAGTGGGGGATGTACGATAGACTTACCTCAAAGTGGTGCACCCTGGGCAACGTATACTCATACGGCAAAAAAAGTCTATTAACCGGCAGTTGACTTCTGACTTCAAACTACCATCACCTCACTCCATGTCATATTCGACTACTTCCACAGTGCTCACCTCACCTTTTCTCTGCCTTTGTGTCTGTCTTTTTTACACCTTTGAAACACTTTTCTGTTCCCCCTCCCCCTCTCTCGACTTTTTTTCACTTTGATGTTCCTTCCCCTCTGTGAAGCTTGAAGTCGACTACCTGGATAATGATAACTATCAAAACGCCTGTCATTTGGTATACATAAATGAATACTTTCAAAGTGTAAGCTATAGTCTTTAAAAGTCAATAATAATTAA